CACTTGGAAATGTTTATTTTTAATCTTCCAAAGAAATCATTTAAGATATTCTAACAAACGCTTCCATTTATTGAGCACCTACAGGCACCATGCTAAATATTTTAAATACATTAGATATCATCCCCACAATGACCCTGCAGATACAACTTCCTTTGCTAGGAAAAAGTGGGTAGAGAGAAATTTTTTGTTTTCCTTTTCTTATATTTCTCTGCCTTTTCAAAAAAACAAAAAAACTCCACTGTTCTGTTTAAAAAGAAAAAACATCTCACCCTTGGCTACGTTCTTCATATGTAACATACAAACATCTGTGACTAGAGGATTTTTTTTTTTTCCCCCACAAGGAACAAAAACTTAAGATTTCATGTTTTCAATTCTTGAGAATATAAAAGGCATGTAGATGAAATTAAAAATAATAAAAATATTAATTGCCAAATCGATTCCAAGAGAGTTATATTGATATCACCATGTGCATTTTAATTGGTTCCCAATAATTCTTTCATCCCCTAGAAAATTCTTACTAGCCATTTCTTACTTTTCTCTGATGTACTGAGGTTTTATTATAAATGCTGAGCTTTAAGGCTATGTCTTACTGCTGTTTACCTCACCTCTGCTTTCCCCTTCCCTCCACCCATTGGGTAATGTTTATACAATATAGGCAGCTCAATCAATCCAGAAAGAATTAAAACTCTGACATTCATTAACAGGGGAGATATTTTACACAGATGTATAACACTGGTCCAGATTCATTCTTGTGAATGCTATACATTTTTTAAACTCATACATGTAGACACAAAAAAAAACCCTAAGAAATAATGGTGAAAATTATTTCAAAATTAAACTACTACACCATAAACATGTTCTCTTTGATCTATGTCAAAATGAGAAGATACACCCTTGGGATTGTCTGCCTATTAAAAAATGGGAATTTCTTGCATTTTCTCTGTGCTAAGTATAGTGAAACTCCTTGCCTATACGATCAGGTATAGATTTCCTGTATTTTTAAAGCTCGTCTGTTCATATACCTGTGTAACTGCTAATATAGTTATGAAAATTCTTAATGCAGAGAGGCCATATATAATTGGATTAAGGGTGCTTAATGATGCAATTTTGCAATATGGTTTACTCATCCATCTGTCCATTTTTTTTGTCATCCATTCCTTCTTCAAGTATTTATTAAGTACAAACTACGCACCTGACAGTGCTGTTGATGCTGAGAATATGGTGATGAGCAAAACATAAAAAAATCCCTGCCCTCATGGAGCTTACATTCTAGTTCCTCAAAAGGGATCTGCAACTAAGATAGAAGTACTCAAAATCCAAGAGGAAAACTTTCTGAAAAGCTCCCTTAGTCAGATACCTTAAAGGAGCAAAGGCTACAATAAGTACTGCATTTAACATTTGTAATGTGTCTTATTTTTATCAAAAATAAAAATCATATCTATTAAGTTTATTAATTTCCTTGAATTTATATTTACTACTTATTTTCCTCAATTTACACCTTGTTTATGATAAATTCCTCTAGTTCCTTGAAGAGAGTCAAAGTGAGACAATCCTTTTAAATTTCAAACCTAACTGATGATCAGTAGGTATGAATCAAGTGAGTGTCTTCATAAGAGCAATTTTTTTATTATAAAGGATTTGGCTTCATAATTACAGGACTGTCTGCCAGCACTGCCTCTGCATGACTTAACTGCTGACTGGAGTTTTGACTGGGGATGCCAATACCTAAAATCATGTTAGGTATTGTCTTCCCTTTTTACTGTCCCATTAAATGAACATATGCTTCTTAGCATTAATATGCAGTAAAGGCTGTCATTAGAGACTAGATTTTGTCTGTCCATGGCAGAGATTACAGCTAATCTTTACCTGGCCCTGCTGTCAGTACACTTCCTGCTAATGTGCTCTGGACTCTTCTTCCACTGAGCTCTCAATTGCTGCCTCTGCCCTTGCTTTCTCTGACCAAAATCCTTGAATTACAATTCTAAGTTCATTATGGCCAGGCCTCATCTGTTGTCATGCTCAGTGGTCCTTCATCTTTTCTTGGGGCTTCTCCCTCTTCATATTACAGCCAACAGTAAGTAATGTTTTCCACTCTCACCAGCAGAACTATTCCACCCTCCTTAACTTTCTAACAGGACACTGGGAAAACAGTAAACTTCAGTATGCCACAGAGTGATAATGAACGCAGAGCCAGGAATCAGAATACCAACTTTGCTCTGAACAGAAGGATACAGAAAGATCCAAGCATATTAAAGGAAATGCCACTCTGTCTATGGTTTCTGTATTTTCATTTCTATATTTATTCAGCAAATACTTATTGAGTGCTTATTAGGTTCCAAAGACTATTATACAGTTGATTTCTTTTAATGGAAATCCACCAATATTGCTCCAAAGCTGAAGTGGTAAATTTCTAACCTGTAGGTCATATTCAGTCTTTAGCCTAATTTGGTCTGCCTCGGAGAGAAGGATCGAGAAACAGAAAAGCAGGCCTTTAAAAGTCTTTAGAAGCAATAAGATAGACTAACTCTACAAAGCGAGAAGGCCTGTATCTTTCTCCTTTATTGCTATGTATACCTCTCACTGTCTCTACCTCTTTGCTCTAGTTTTTTCTCTTCTTCATTCCACCTCATTTCTTTAACTGGCCGTTATATGGCAATGGGATATAGGTTATTTTCTGTATTTATTGAATTACATTCCTATTTTTAATTTAAAAGGCAGACCAAATTAACACTTCATATTTTTATCCTAAAACAGTCTTTTTGTTGCTTTTGTTTGGAGGAGTGGGGAGAATAGGGCTACAGTCCTCGAAATTTCTTTCACAGATTCTCTACTCAATTAACTCAGTAACTGAAATTCCACCTTGGCAAGCAAAAATATTGCATTAAAAGATAAAACAATAATAAACATTGTACTTCAAGAATCTACACAAAAAAAGGATACAAAGTTTATAAGGCATAAGTGTAAAAGGTAAATAACTATTTCATGAAGAAAGCAAATAAAAATCTACTCAGATAATTATTTCAACAAAAAAAAGGAATAGAAATAAATGCATTCAAAGGAAGAGTTATCATTTACCAATTTTTATACACTGAAAATAAGGATTCTCCACTCCTAAGAACCATTTTCATGCAGATTTTTATCACAAATTATATATTTTCCATTTGACAATTTCTCTCTTCAGTAGTTGCTATAAACTGTAAATTATTCCAGCACTTAATTTCCCAGGATTAAATATCTTCCTAAAAACTCTATAATCCCCATCACATAAGAATGTCACAGTATCTTTTCTTTATCACACAAAAAAATTATAATAATTATAACTTATTCTTTATTTGTCATCTTTCTACAGAAATTATCAAGATTTAGCCTTGCCAGGAAATTATACACATTATGAATACAAGCTTTAATAGACTACTAATCAGACTATTGTATTCCAAGTATTTCTATAGAACATGATATCACAAATTAAGTCATTAATTCCAAAACAGTAGTTTATTAACAAAAAAGTACAAAGAAGTACAAATGGACATCCTACTTTCCCCCATTATGGTCCATCTATCTATCTCCCTTTCAGTCCATGGCACAGCCTTCTTGAGCTAAAAGAATAGGCAAAATACTTCTCTTTCCAATGGGCCTAATAACCATCCCCAAACAAATCATTACGTATTTAAGTTATACAGTCAATGTCAATTTTTAAAAAATGTTTAATCTATATGAGTTGCTATAAAAGCCTCTTCCCTTGCAATATATCATGTACCTAAACTGAATGAAACATATCAGCATCAACATTCATAAATCATGCTTAGATACAGGGAATATCAGATCATTAGCATATTTGCCTTGAAGTAACAGATGACGAATGAAAGCGTAGAAGTGTCAAAAGGGATTTTCATAGATATTTACTAAAACACTTCAAGTCAAAAACATCTTGTTAACTAAATTGAAGTACATGGAAAACATTCAGGTTAGTTGTGTTTTTTGCACTGATTTTTAAATCAAAGCTACTCACATATCTCATCTATTATTTCAATTTTCTTCAGCAATGGTTCCTTTTCAATTTATTTCAATAAACCTACAGTTATTCCATACTTCTCGTTCTACAAGCCCAAAGTACTTCTCTGAATCACAGTAAATTCCCAATCCTTTTCGATTTTTCTCACAGGGCTACAGATGGGAGATTTAGTGAACTGCCATGTTCAGTAAACAATGCTCAATTTGCTCTTTCGGCTATAATTCTTCAAGACAGAACATGTGGATTAATTTACTGATGTTCCTAAAGGCCATGTGTAAAATTTATCTTACATTTTTTTTGAATGGGAAGCTCCAGCCTTTTAGTTTGTGGAGGCAGCCAGGTCAGAGCTTGCTACTACACTTTATTCCCTGCCTATAACTAGTCTCATGAAGAACAGGAGTTCAGTGTTAGACTAGACTATAGTAACATAAGGTGCTATATCAGTGAAACACTTTTGGGGAACTGGAAAATTCAGATGACCACTCACTAAACATAAAATCATTATTCCACAAAGATTTTATTCACATCAAACTTGCACAGTAGCAAAAAAAAATCAAAACATAACTAAGCCACATATCAAAGAACAATATACAATAAGGATTTGAATTTCTCAATGGCATTGGGAAGTATTTCCATAAATAACATTTACAATTCTAGTGTTAGATCTTTCAAGGTGTCTGAAGCTTCACAGTGCTAGAATTGATTTTTATCAACACATGCAAAAATGTGCAACATAATAATTCATATTAATGACAGAAAAAAGCACGCCAGTTATTTGTCATTCCAGCACGGCCATGCCACTCTATGTTCTAAAAACAAACAACCCCCCAAATCCGGGTCCCATTCATTCTTCAATTATGCCTTTAGTCACTCTGCTTTATTATATTCAAACAGTCACTGTTAGTGCTCTTCACCACGACTTTCAGGCTGACGTCACTCCCTGCCTGCTGGCTGTCAGGACTGGGGGACGCCCCTCTCCCAGACTCACCTTCTTCCGGATGTCTTCATCGTTTGCTCCTAGAGAGGCATAGAGCTTGAATGCAGCCTGGCGGAGTTCATGAGCGTGTTTTAAGTCATGATCAAGCTATGGACGGGGAAACAAAAGGTATATTGCAACTCAGTCTACATATTTAATTTTCAATAAAACTATCTGAGTTGGAAAAAAATTTTAACCACTATTAAGATATTAGTGCTATCACTGAATTCCTGGTTATTTTGGGGTTCTGTTCACATAGGACTGAGCCACTCCTGTGTTTGTGCCAATATGACCTTGAATGCATGCAGTCTGCTTCTGTCTAAAAGTGGACACCACAACGTTTGACACTGGAATGGTATATGAAAGACCTTTGTGAAACTCTGACCCCTAAACAGCGTTCCTAGAGAGGAGTTTTAGTGGCACTGATGCTTGCTCACACCAGCTCTTTGAAATGCCCTCCTCAAGAACAAGGCACATTCAGGCCTTTCTAGCCTCAGAATACAGCTGGTAAAACTTGAGTGCTGCTACAGTACTTTTAGAAGGTTTTCTTAAACATGAAGAACAGCGCTGGCCCGATTTCAGTATTTACTAAGATTTTAGAAAAGAGGGAAACCTTTGCGAAAATCCTTAATAAACAATACACCAAGGTAATGATTGCTATGTATCTATTACAATTACCTGAGATTTATATTCGGAGGCTTTTTTGATACATTTATTAAAATTACTTACTGGTATGAAAACAATTAATGCTAACTTTACACATGTAAAGTTTTTAAATGATCAATTCTTCCATACACCTGTTTTGTCACTAAACCACCATAGATGTGAAATAGAAGCATGTTCTCACAACACTTTAAATGACTACAAATCGGTAAGTATATAAAGCTTATCAATAATGTACATAATTTTATAACTAATTCACCCAAATGACTACCACTCCAAATGAGTTGCCTTTGAAAGGTTCACCTTTATGCAATGATGTGTTATTTATAACATTCTAAGACCCTTCTTTGAAACTTCCTGAAGAGCTAAGTGGCATATTAGCTACAAAACCCTAACAATGATATATCTTCATCAAGTAAGAGTTTTAAGTTAATTGTTACTGACTGTGAAGATGGGGAAATAAATCCAGCTGGGTAACATCATTTAGAGTAACAACAGTAGTTCTAAAAATATTTTGATCAAAGCAGGCACTGATGGATTATGGGAGGAACTCCTCAATATACAACACTCATTTTGATGTATAAGTTCTGAAATATCTGAAGTCGTAAGTACTTTCTAGTCATAACATATAGTTAGAATATTGACTTGGATTAACATATACCATGAAAATCATGCACTTATTAACATGCAAGAATTTCCAACTATGGGTCTAGTGTCTATATTTTTATGGTCAGAAACCACTGTATAATCCATCATCAAAAACAGAGGAATAGGGGCGCCTGGGTGGCGCAGTCGGTTAAGCGTCCGACTTCAGCCAGGTCACGATCTCGCGGTCCGTGAGTTCGAGCCCCGCGTCGGGCTCTGGGCTGATGGCTCAGAGCCTGGAGCCTGTTTCCGATTCTGTGTCTCCCTCTCTCTCTGACCCTCCCCCGTTCATGCTCTGTCTCTCTCTGTCCCAAAAATAAATAAACGTTGAAAAAAAAAATTAAAAAAAAAAAAAACAAAAACAAAAACAAAAACAGAGGAATAATCTTCTCTATACCAGTTAAATGATTTACACATATATAGGCCACAAGTTCTTGTAACTATGTTTCCTCACTCTTCTGTCCATCAGAGTATCCCGTTTGCCTTGTCTGGACAGTCAACTGAGGGTGTTCATGAGGCCATAGTCAGGACTTGCTCATGTATCTTTATACCAGTGAAATACTGTGTCAGTGTGAGGAAGTCCACAAGGGAAAACAAACAAGGTAGCTGGTTCAATGTAACCCATTACCTGTGCTGCAAAAACAGTACCACTAAAGGAAGAGCAGGCACTAACTTTAATACATAGTGTACATGACTAATACCAGTAACAGTGAAGGTTACTTTGGGCCCTTTCTGAGACAGAGAAAACATAAACCCTTAAGAGTTCATTTTATTTTCAATGTTAAATGCCAAATAAACAGTTGCCTGCCAAATGAAGTTTTGGGAAACTCAGGGGCATGAGAAAGGTCAAGAGGAAAGTTTTTAAAAATTTACCATTGGGACCACTGGCATCAAAAATACAGTCACATTCATGAAACAGTACTGGTTACTAATTAGGAGACAATCAATGCTTTTTCTACCATGATCTCCTTAAAAAAAAAAAAAAAAAAAAAAAAAAAAACTTTCTCTAATTGAATATTGTTCTCCTATGCTTAGAGAAATGGATATGACAAACAGGCTGAGAAGAACAAAGTCAAAAGACCTATCTAGCTATTCTAAGGAACTTACGGTTTGTGAAAAAGTTTGAGAAAAGCACAGTTTGGTTCTTTATGGTCTCAAACTAGAGGTTAAATAGTACTTTAGCTGACACTAGCAGGACCAAAACACAATATAAAACTGAAGCAAGGAAAGAGAAGATGACAAAAGTTAGACAGTGAAAGAGAAAGACAATGGCAGAGAGTAAAATAAGGCCACTCAGTCACCTGTCACAGAACACCCTTGACCTAAAGAATGAGAATATAGCAACACAGATGATTCTGGGAACTTAAACAGGATTAGATGATGTTGCTGTAATGTCAACACCCAGCTTAGATACACCATTATTTTTGTGTTTTAGTTGGGAATTAGGGACATAATTTTCTTCCTTCCTGATTTCCTGCTTAGTAAAAAATTTCTGGTAATTACATGAAATAGACTGGATTCAAAAACCCATAAAACATCATCTTTGTTATCAAAGATTCCTTCATTTAAAGGAAGATTCCTTTATTTAAAAGGGCTCTGAACTGTAATTATCAATTGGTTCAAAGTTGTGAGCAGTAAGAAAACCTTTTAAAAAATCCCTTGGCTTGAGCTGCTGAAAAGGAAAACAGAACATACCCTTTTAATATCAGTGATGGCACTCACTGAGCTGGGATATTTGAAATAATCAGCAAGCATGGCAATGAGGTGATCAGTTATGCTAGCGATTCTCTGTAGCTCCACATCTGGTTCAATCAGATAGGCGAGTGTCTCAGCTCCTTCAACTCTCTCCTCTAGTAATCTCTCCTTACTGCACATTCGAACCAAACAAGGCAGTGTCTGGAAGGTAGTGAAATTAATTATTGGCTTTGTGGTAAAGGCAAAAGCTTGATGGAGAGCATAAAATAAGTGAATCAACTCAACGGTTTTTAGTGGCAGTCAGGTTTGTTATCAAATGTTTGAATAAGTACTTTCACAGAATAAAAAGGTTTTTTTGGAATGTAAAAACAAAGTTCAGTGTATATTAATCATTTGCTCTGGCATACCCAATCTAATCATACAACAGAAGGGCATTAATACAAACTCCCATCCGGCCTTTGTGATGGATAAAATTGAAACTTTATTGTACAATCTACAAAAGACATTTAAGAATCTCTAATAAATCATGTGTGATGTTTCTGTTCCACCTATGTATTTATTTACTTAAAAGACATCCAGCAGTTTAATCAGGAACAACTTTGCCTTAGAAAAAGTATGCTATCTTTTCCTTAGCGAATAATATGGATGGGATGGCTTTTATTTTTTGTTTGGGGATCAATACCTACAGTTGCAAAATCAAAATACAACTTTAAAAATTCAGTGATCTTACCATTACTCAGATTTCATGAGTTTTCCTTTAAGTGAGTAAAATGCATCCATCACAGTTCCTAGGTTTTCCAAGTAACTCCCTAAAATGACTGTATCTACTAGTCCAATTTTACCTGAGGTCCTTCAAAAATCTTAGTGCTGGTCTTGGTAATTTATGTACATTAGGTCCTTGATAAGAAAAAAAAAAAATCCCATGTATTTATTATTTCTTCTTCTTTTTTAAATTTTGAACATGAGTCGGGGAGGGATAGAGGATCCGGAAGTGGGCTCTGCACAGACAGCAGCAAGCCTGATGGGGAGCTCGAACACACAAACTATGAGATCACGACCCGATCTGAAGTCGGACGCTCAACTGACTGAGCCACCCACGTGCCCCTATTTACTATTTCTAAGGCTGATGAACCCACTTTAAAGAATAACGTTGAAGTGGAAACTGAAATGCTCTAATTATAGGAAGCTTTCCTCCATTATCGTAGTCAACTCAACTGTGCTTTGCTCCTTCCTAAATTTCTACTGTATCTTTATCATAGAGTGTAGCACTTTATTGTTCACTATTGATTTCCTATCAGGCTACTGTGTGCTTTATAATACAACCCCAGGCTTCCAAGAGGAAAGCCTTATTCTTATTTCCTTTTGAACAATTACTAACATTTATCAATCCATAAATTCACAGATTATTGAATTAACCACTCACAAATACTACACAAAGAAGATGCTATTAACATAGTTTACCAATATGTAGGAAACAGAGGGGTAAAGCATTTGAATAAATAAACCAAGGTTACTTGCATGAAAGCCCTTAGAATTTTACACAGTGTTGCTTACTTAGGGGGTCCTCAGATCTCATTAAAATAATTGAGTTGCTTCACCAAAGTCTAAACAAACATTAGTCTTAATGCACTTTAATCCTTGGGTTCATTTTGCACACTGAAAATGAGAGATCTCACATTCATAAAATGATATTTTATTTACATTGTTCTTTGTGGCTAATAAAACATTTAACATATTTAACATACTGTTATCTTCAAAATAACCCTGTGGAATAGACGAACAAAAATTATTGCTTCCATTTTCATGAGTCACCAAAAGAATAAGGGATGTGTCCAGGATTACCCAAGCCAGTCGGTGGTAGGAGTGCTGAAATGAGACTCGAGGTCTTACAACTTTTAGGGACAGTCTCTTATGTGGGTTTTTCTGAGTTCTAGTTGCTTTGGACATGTCACAATGATGTTGATGGTTTTCATGTGTTATTTACTTTTCTTTCTCATTATGTCTTTTGATTATCTGCTATGAAGGTGATAAAAAATCTTTATCTGCAGAGCTGGTGAACTGCTTGCCTATAAAACTATGTTGTAAATTTAATGAAAATCAAGGATTAAAATATATTTTCTATTTCACCTGAATTTTACATACTTTTACAATTTCTATAACCTTCTAATTTAACAAAAATGAAAAAGGTGACAGGAACGATTTCATTTTGACTCTTAAAACACATCTAAAACCAATTTTTGAAAATTACATGGCATCATATGGGGCACCAGGGTGGCTCAGTAGGTTAAATGTACGACTTTGGCTCAGGTCATGATCTCACGGTTCGTGAGTTTGAGCCCCGCGTCAGGCTCTGTGCTGACAGCTTAGAGCCTGGAGCCTGCTTTGGAGTCTGTGTCTCCCTCTCTCTCTCTCTGCTCCTCCCCTGCTCACACTGTCTCTCTCTCCCTCAAAAATAAGTAAATATTCTTTTTTAAAAAATTTAAAATTACATGGCATTTCATTAAAAAGAAAAGCGTGGGGCGCCTGGGTGGCGCAGTCGGTTAAGCGTCCGACTTCAGCCAGGTCACGATCTCGCGGTCCGTGAGTTCGAGCCCCACATCAGGCTCTGGGCTGATGGCTCAGAGCCTGGAGCCTGTTTCACATTCTGTGTCTCCCTCTCTCTCTGCCCCTCCCCCGTTCATGCTCTGTCTCTGTCCCAAAAATAAATAAACGTTGAAAAAAAAAAAAAATTTAAAAAGAAAAGCGTTACGTTTTAATAATGTTATTTTATGCTATGCACACAAACCATGGTGATAAATGTATAAAAAGGAGAAAAAAAAGGGAATACCAATATTTATATTCAACACTTAGGACTGTGTAATGTTCACATGTGTTTAGAATTAATTAGCTCACCTTCAATACAATACAGTTGTCATCTGTCCGAATTGCTCCAGCTCTACACATGTAAGTTAAACTGGAATAAGATGGCAGAGAGTAAATTTCTGCTTGTGTTTTAAAGCTCTAAAAGAAAAACTCCCCACCTTTAAAATATTATGGGTAAAAAAAATAAGACAGCTATTCTTATTTATCTTGAGGGAGAAGGTTTTCACATTACCTTATATGAGGGTCTACCAATTCAAAAACAACTGATAGATCTAGACAGTAAGCCAGATAGTTTTCAAAAATACACGCAAAATTGTTTTAAAAATAAAGGATAAGAGGATAAGCTTTGAAGCTAGGTGCTGGACACACTGGAGTTCCTTATACTTGTCTCTATACTGTTTTGTTAAAATTTTCCATACTATAAAGGGGAAAGGGTTAAAAGTAAATATAAAGTTAACAGTGTCTAAGATTAAATGAAGTTGGGATATTTTAACTCCAAGAAAGGTAGTGTAAGTATCACAGAAGAAGCACTTAACTTGTCACAGAGCTAGCTATCAGAAATTAACTACTAACTCTTCAGAGCTTGCCAGTAATGGTTTTGAGAACTGGGTCAATGATTTGGTTCTACTGAAAAACAATTTACCTTCACCATTATATCTGGCTTTGAATAAGAATAAAATTACTTGGTCCTCCCTAAGCAGGTACTGAACATTGAGCACTTCAGAAACTTAAATTAATGAATTTCCTTTTTGAATTAGATTCCTTTAGTAAGCTGAGGGGGCAGGGGAAGGACTAAAACACTCAATATCCTGGCTTCTACAGAAAGCTATTAAAAAAATAAAATTTTTACTTAGATTGTTGAGGACTGAATTGTTTATCTTAAGACTTGTTACCCACATTGTTTTTTGAAACCAGTTCCATGAGAGAATTCACCTTACAAATAAAGAGGCAAATGCTCAATTGCAAAGACAAAAAACACGCAAAAATACAAAATAGTATACTCATATTAAAAAAAAAACAAAAAATTCACGATCCATTAGTATTTTACTGAAAATTCCTTACTCTCACCAAAATACTAGAGAGCCACAAATTCTTAAATACTGGAACTAAACAATTAATTTAGCAAAGAATAGGTGCTCAACCTATTAACGTATTGATAATTACAGAACTGACATGTACTTAATACTTATATGAGCCAGGACATGTGCTAATAATAAGAACTTGACTATCTTATAAACTGTCACATCTCTAAGAGAATTTTATGCTTTGTTTTTCTAAACTTGAGGAAGCCATATTTTATGAAATCATGCCTTGGTTATCAACCTCAACTAATTCTCACTCCATATTTTCACATCTTTATATTTTCTTGTCTTAATCCTTACCATAAATCTGTTAGTTAAATCTGATCTAATTCTGTCTTATTTCAACTGAAATAAGGAGAATGAAACAAAGTAATTTGCTTGAATGAAACAAAGTAATTTTCTGTAGACAGTCTTAGCCATTAATTAAATGAGTGTTGCTGCTCTGCATGCTGCTAGTAAGCGGAGTAAAAAAATTCATGCCCATTTAATAAAATGTGAGACAATCCCATGACTTGCAAATTCTAAAATCCTGAAAGAAGATAGGGACTGGAAGTGAGCTAATTAGGCTGTTCAAAAATACTCTTAACATATTGATAAAGCACCGTCATTCTTCCCACACTATCTTGATTTTTTACCATTTTGCTGATGTGAGCTGCATCTCAATAGGTTTATCCCTCTGTAACATCTTCACAAAAATTTGTGGTAATAATTCTCCATCAACCAAAACTAGAAATAAAGCAAAGAACAAGAATTAAGGAATTCTTTAAATCTACAAAGTTCATAAATTAAATCATGTAGATGCCATTCAAAGTTCCAGCCTACCATTTACCAGCGTCATCGATACCTGGGGGTTTTCAAAAGCTAAAACTGAGAAGCATTTCAGTGCCTGCATTCGAACCTGTAACAATAAATAAACAAAAAAAAATGCATTTATGCGTTTTAAATGTCTCAGAATCTAAACTCTTCTGAAAAAACAAAATACTAAAAGAAGGCCTCAAGGGAATAAAAATAACACCTGTATATCTGAAGAGTAGAGAAAGTTAAACTTAATTATAAAAAGCTGAAATTAATTTTGAATGAAAAGAACAGGAAAAAGTGGCAACTAAAATTCAGATAAATTCCTAGTCAAATTTAAAAGAACAATGTACAAAATCCAATGTTAGTAAGACAAAGAAAACTTAATAACAATTAATCACCCACTGCCTTTCAAGTAGGGTACTTCTTCCCAAACTACAAACCAGAGAACTGAAGACGAGAAACTAGGAACAAATGAAAAAAAGTGTGCTCTTACAGTCATATACGGGATGGGGTTGGGGCAAAGAGAACAGAAGGAGAGGAAACAAAATTACAGTAAAAATTTGAAAAGGACTAAACTAATTTCGTTTTTACAACACCCATGAATTGTGCTACTATTCCTCATAACTAGATTACTGAGGCCAAACTCTTGACCACATACGGCATATTTTACAATTTGTAGGTGCTCCTATGAGAGCTATTATTTTTCACTTTTTCTGTTCAGTTTTCATCCGTCTCATCCTCACTTCCAAGCCTGAGTTCACATGTGATATTTTTGTGTGCAACTCGAGATTGGCAGGCTGGGCAGCTAAAGTGTGGGGAAGCCCTGTCCCTCACTTTGGCAACGACCTGCTGCCCTAGCATGTGCACACCTAAAATGTGGGACATAAAATGTCAGTGATACTGACAATGGAGCAAACGTTACAAAAAGCAATGTCACCAAAACCTTTTTCCTTCCACAACCCATAATCTGTTACAGTAGATAAGGAAGCTTGGTGCAGAAAAGACAAGAAAGAAAAGGAGGGAGAATTGAGGGAGTTAAAGAAGACAAAGAGGAGGGGCAGTGAGTAGCCACCCCAGCAATTGTTTCTTCGTGTACCAGTGCTGACTGCTTCCTGCTTCTATGTGGCACAGGGCAGAGGAAGCAGCTCTCCCCCGGCTCTGATTAATCTCAAGCCGGGTCCATTCCCCATTCCTATCCTTGTGAGTGCTTCACCAGGATCAAACTTTGGATCTCTCAAGTAGAAAAAACATAGGTAGTAGCAGGCTGCAATACAGCCAAGCACCAAAAAAAGAGCAGATCAGAATCAGTGCAAGAGGACAGAAGAAAAAAAGGACTACTGCTCTCTCTGCTCTACAACAAACTCCTGGCATACCAGCACTAATGTGACACAATTAGGACAATGCCCCATTATTTGCTATAACTTACTAGTTGGATAACAATGAAGTGACACAAGTTTTAACGTAACGTTTGATTATATAACGTGATGCTGTTTACCTATATATAAGAGAGTGAAGAAAATTTAATTAGCAAGTCTGAAAACCTTTGACTTTTTAACCTAAAATACAAAACGGAACACATTTTAAATGTTGATATATATATGTGGGTATACGCTGTAAGTTTCAGTCACTGTGGCTCAATCAAAGCCCTTTCTGACACAGCAAGCCACTGTTTCCACACACTTCAAGGCAACACCTCATGTGTGGCTTTGGCACCGACATCACAGCAGAGAAAACTGTAAAAATCAATAGCAAATCAAGTCACAACCATATTCTGAATAAAATGCAAAGGCAAGGGTGGCTTTTAAAATTTTTTAAAGAGGATGCTGTAGTATAACAATGCCCCATAACATTTTATTGATAAAATGTTATTCTTGGTCACAATATCTATCAAAGCACCAATAAAATAGATGGGCCTCCTAAATGAAGACTCTAGAAACCGAAAGTAAAGTATAAAAATCTGGCCATAATTTTTAACATCTTACTTTGTAAGATACTGAGGTTAGTAGGTGAGCAATATTCTGAACTGCACCATGGTTAAACAAAATTGTTTGATGATCTGGACCCTGTAAGAGAAGAGAATTAACAGTACATTAAAAAGAGTAATGATTCATTCTAACAAAACATTTACTTAAATGTAGAAAAGAAAAGCACATCCGCTACAATGCAGAATTCTCAACTACCCTTCTCTTGCATAAATCCATCCTAACAAGGCAGAGTAGACAAGGGGCTGCCATTTCTTATGTCTTCCCAGTTCTGTAGAACTGCTGCTTCCTTACCCACCACCCCCCCCACCCCCGCCCCAAATAATGAAGGGGACAAAGAAGCTACCCTGATAGGCACACGCTGTTTGCAGTTATTAAATAACACACTATCAGGGCAACAGAATCACTGTCAATTCTACATTTCATGTGCACAACCTTCCACTATGTCCACTGAAAATAGTGGTAATCATTCTTACAACTTTAGACTGATGAGCTCATCAGAGGAACTCTAAAACTAATTAAGTACATGGAGAACTGGACCAAAGCTTAACTCATCTCAATACATCAGGAAAGTTTGAGTAATGGATGGTGGAAAACTAAACACTCCATACTGAGAAGTGCAAGTGTTTTGGTTTCTGTTTCTATCTGATTTCTTTTTAAATTTTTTTAATGTTTATTTATTTTTGAGAGAGAGAGACAGACAGAGAAAGAGGGAGACCCAGAATCCAAAGCAGGCTCAAGGCTCTGAGCTGTCAGCACAGAGCCTGACATGGGGCTCAAACCCACAAACCATGAGATCATGACCTGAGCCAAAGTCGGCCACTTAATCGACTGAGCCACCCAGGCGTCCCTATCTCATTTCTCTTCTTAAATCATCATTTCTTAGCACAGGAAGGTGAAGAAATGGGAAAATTTGGGGGTTTTATTTTTCATCAACAATCTTCTACCAAGCAGTTTACTGAAGATCTTCAAAGTGACAGAAGCTAAAGGTTTATGCAGGGCTTTGAGTTTGCCACAGTTCTTATGTGCTGATTTTAATTTTTTAATTTTTCAAAATTGATTTTATCATTATTTTTTAATGTTTAGTTGAGAGACACAGAAAGACTGAGCATGAGTGGGGGAGGGGCAGAGAGACAGAGGGAGACACAAACTCCGAAGCAGGCTCCAGGCTCTGAGCTGTCAGCACAGAGCCTGACGGGGGGCTCAAACCCACAAACCCTGAGATCATGACCTAAGCTGAAATCGGACGCTTAACCGACTGAACCACCCAGGTGCCCCTAATTTATAATTTTTTTTAAGTTTAAGTAATCTCTATACCCAGTGTGGGGCCTGAACTTACAATCCAGAGCTCAAGAGTTACATGCTCTAACAACTGAGCCAGCCAGGCACCCCTCCTATGCATTGATTTTATGTACCACTCACCCATTCAATAATGAAGTCAAAGCAAGGATAAGGATGCTACTTCATGCTTATCATTATTCAGAAAAGAAAAACACAGCAGGGAAAGTTGGCTTTCCCTGGACTCACCAAAGGAAACCAGTTGCTAGTCTAGAAAAAAACTCTGAAGCCAATTTTTCCAACCCACTCTTTAGCCAAGTAACAACTATCCTGTAGATGCTCAGTCTTTCATGGACCAAAACATCCATCATATGAAGTGGGGAGATTAATATTCATTGTCCTAAATCACAAAACACCCATATTCTATTTTATAGGTAATAATTCTATTAAAAGAGCCCTTTAAAAAACAAAAAAACTTCAGTCATTTCTCTCAATTTCTATACATTTTCTAACTTCTCCTAATTTCTGATTATTGATACATAATGTCCACACTTTATTCAGGCAAACCCACATTACATATATTAGGTACTTTCTAATGTCTCACTATTAAAAACAATGCTTTATCGAACTTTTTTTCTAATGTTTATTCGTTTTTTGAGAGACAGAGAGCAGGGGAGCGGCACAGAGGGAGGGAGAAGCAGCTGTTGGCACAGAGCCCTACGCAGAGCTCAAACTCATGAACCATGAGATCATGACCTGACCTGAATTCAGAGGCTCAACTGACTAAGCCACCCAGCTGCCCCCATGCACATTCTTTCTAAGAGTTCATGTATGCAATATCTGTACTGATGAAGCCATATTATGAAAAAGATGAAGCACAATGCAATTTACTTAATATAACTGGTCCCTGCTGCCTACAAGACATAGTTTTTAAAATTCTTCAATTTCGGGGCGCCTGGGTGGCGCAGTCGGTTAAGCGTCCGACTTCAGCCAGGTCACGATCTCGCGATCCGTAGGTTCGAGCCCCGCATCGGGCTCTGGGCTGATGGCTCAGAGCCTGGAGCCTGTTTCCGATTCTGTGTCTCCCTCTCTCTCTGCCCCTCCCCCGTTCATGCTCTGTCTCTCTCTGTCCCAAAAATAAATAAAAAACGTTGAAAAAAAAAATTAAAAAAAATAATAATAAAAAAAAAAAATTCTTCAATTTCTTTGCCCCAAGGATAGCAGCAAATAATGATGACAAAAGCAGCTCTTCCTCCTCTGTGCTTGTACATAGGATTATGTAAAAATAATTACAAGGAAGCAATTAGTGACGGAACCAACTAGAGACAGAGCTTTCATTTGTTTCTTATCAAGTCTCTCTTGATCAACCCATCCACAGGGTGGGAAGCAAATAAGTCACTAAGTTTTTAAGCTCCAAAAGGCAGGTCTCAGAAGTTTCGGAGTAACCTGTTTGAGAGCGGCAACAATTTAGTTCCAATTCATTTTACTACTCTTTTTCGCTCCTTAATAAATCAGGGAGAGAATTTCAAAGATATAATTAGGATTAGCTTATAAGACAAATGCTTTAATAATCCCTTTTTCTGTCTCCCCCTCCCCCAAAGTATGTAAATGTATTTAATATTGAGACCAGTACAGCTGACCCGTGAACAGTGGATTTGAACTGTGCGGATCCACTTCTATGTGGATTTTTTCAATACACACAGCACAGTACCATAAATGTATTTTCTCTTCATGATTTTCCTAATAACATTTTATTTGTTCTAGCTTACTTTATTATAAGAATACAGTATATAATACATACAAAACACAAAATATTGTAAGAAAACAGCATATAGTACATATAACACAAAATACTCAACTGCTTATCAGAAAGTCTTCCAGTCAATAGTAGGCTATTAGCAAAGTTTTAGGAAGTCAAAGGGTATATGCCGATTTTTGACTGAGCAGGGTTTGGCACCTCTGACCCTTGCGCTGTCCAAGGGTCAACTGTATATTCAAATTTGTAAGTCTTAAGTCTATAAACTAAACAACACGAAAGTAAAAGGTTTTTATAGTTAATGACTATACAGAGATCATCAAATCAATTATTTTCAAAGATTCACATTACTAATCAGTAGAAAAATTAACATTTTATTTTGGGCTAATTATCACTGGGTTTATAAATGCTATTACGTTTCCTAAAGTCTAGTTGTATCTCAGAACACTTAAATTTGGTCCTTTAATTACAGTGGCAAATGCTAATTATTATTAGCATATCAGCTAAAAGAAAGCTGAGTTAAGGTGATTTTCTCTGATAACATCTTCAGTTCTGTCAGTGGCATGAGGATGCTGAGTGTAAGTTCTTTCCAGCAAAAGAACCAGTGATTTAATGGTATTCTTTCATCCACGATTTCAGCTAAAAAAGCACTGAGAAGTTTTAGATGAGCAAGCCTAAAAGGACTTAAAAGTTTCTGATGAGTCATTCTAAAAGCTATTGGAGGGGCGCCTGGGTAGCTCAGTTGGTTAAGCATCTGATTTTGGCTCAGGTCACGATCTCACAGTTCATGGGTTCGAGCCTGGCAGGGCAGAGCCTGCTTGGGATTCTTGCTCTCTCCTCTTTCTCTGCCCCTCTCCTACTTGCACTTTCTCTCCCTTTCTCTCTCATAAAATTAACGAGCATACTTTAAAAAAAAATAAGATAAATAAAAGCTATTTGGGTAACTTCTGGAATGGGATTATTCAAACTTCTCACGATGTAACAGTAATTTGACATGTAGTAGTTACACCCCCAGGTCCAACTTTCAGTGCCCCTTTGGGATTACTGTGGTTATAACTAATAGATGCTGTGCTCTCAAGCACTCATAGCAGAAAGATTTTTAACAAGGCACAGGAGTTCTGGAGTATCCTTCTTTACCTATCTTCTCGGGCTGGGTAGAAGACTTCATTTCACTGTTGGAAAATTCTACACCTTGTTGAGTTCAGCTCCTTTTTAGCAAATGAATTGCAACAAAATTGTCATTTTTCTCAAAGGCTATCTTTGCTCACCTCAAGAGATTAAAGGAGTGTTTGATATCCCTGGTCCTACGAGTTAGCTTACACACTGTCAAATCAATCTGAAAAGTAAACTTCAAAGACTTTTGATAAAATTCTTAAATTCTAAATGTCTTAAATAGAACTGAATAAGCTGTGAAAGTCAGCTAAGATTTGGGGATGGGAAGTGGTTAAACAAACAATAATGATACTTTTTGTGGAACCAAGTGATTTAATTTTCATTTCTTTGGGAAACTGATCTAAAATAGCATAGATCCGTGATCTTCCTAATTTTATATGTTGGTGTTCACTTCTCTTTCCTATATTTCCTATAGTTTCCCAAACTCCTTACTTTGTCTTTGTATTATAAATATAGGTAGGTGAGTAATGCTGTCCTGAAAAACTTATAGAAAATCATCAGGCAACAAAAAATTATTTGTTTAGAAATTAGCAAATGTGTAGAAATTATGAAAGTTCTCAAACAGATAATCACCCATGGCTATCAAAAGAGTACACTCAGTATATAAACTAGTAAGCAAAATAAGTAGCACTTTATGACACTGTTAAGTTTAGGTTCAGGCCCTTTTAGGAACAGAAATTTCTCTCAACAATTAGCACAGAAGAATCTCCCACTTCTCCGCATAGGAAGGACATCACTTAAAACAATTTCCAACAATGAGAGTATGGGGAAATAGTCATGATCCCATACTACTGGTAGGAGTATAAAATGGTACAACCTCAAAACAAGACAGTAAATATATGGTAAAATTACAAACGCACACCCTTTGACTCAGCAATTCCGGTTCTTACAAAATGCTTTACACAAGTTATTTTTGCAGCATTGTTTTGTGATAATGTAAGATTGGAAACAAGGCAAATGTCCAACAATAGATAACTGGTTAAACAAATTATTGTATATACTATATAGTGTATACAATATAATTATTGTACATAGTATATAGTATTGTATATAATATTTTACTATATTGGACATACTATATACAATACTATATATATATACACAGTATATATGTGTATATATATATACACACACACACAGTGTATATATATATATACACAGTATACTGTGTGTGTGTGTATATATATAGTATTGTACACTATATATATACACACTATATATACACACTATATATACATATACGCACTATATACATACATACATATACACACATATATATACATACATATACACACAGTATATATACATACATATATATACAGTGTATATATATATATATACACTATATACATATATACTGTGTGTACATGTATATAATGTGTGTGTATATATATATATATAGTATTGTATACAGTGTATATTGTATATAGTAAAATACTACACTACCGTTGGAGAAAAAAATGAGGGAGCTCCTTATGTACTGACATGGGGTAAGTTTTAAGTTATGAAAAATGCAAGGTGCAGAACAGTATGTATGCAATGCTACCATCTGTGTCCCAAAAGGGAAAGAAGAGATATATACATAGGTCTGCTTCTATATGTATGTTATCTCTGGGAGGATACACAAGGATGGCACGTCTTCTGAGACCATTTAAGATTTTACACTACAGAGAACATTTATTCTGGTTCTTACTTTACAGCAGTGTGAGAAGATCTGACAGATGTACTCCTGGGTGTAGCGGGACCTGCTGAGCAGCGCCATGAGATGTGGGATCACCGTGGCATCCTGCAGTCAAAGGAAAAGAGAACACGGTAACAAGCAACTTAGGCATTGTGAATACACCTAGCCAATTATTTCCATGAGCAGGTACACATGCAAGCTTCTCAGCTTAATCAGTCAATCAAGTCTCTTTAAGGAACACAGCAAAACAAAAACAACACAGTCCCCAAAACTGTTCAGGTAAAGGACAAGGAGAGGGGCTTCAATATTCATCCTCAACAACAAAATACAAGAATGGGAAATTCTCAATTTCTCTCCAATGAACAGCCTACATCCCCACAATAAAACAAAATCATTTCAAAAGACTTGACAGAAATGTGTTCTGAAACCAAAATGTGAATAAGATATACAATAATAAATAGCCTATAAGGGGGAAATATATAAAAATAACAAGCGACAGTTTTGATCTCTGAGATGTTGCAGTATCAGTAACTAGCAAGAATCAGTAACTAGTAAGAATTATGATGACTGTAGTTAGCTAATTTCAATATTCACAAGACAATTTATAAAATATCAACTTCTCACTTAGAGCATGTTCTCTGCCTACTGCTGACACTTAGCAAGATACATGATGGAGCAGTGGAAGAGAGGAGAATCTGCCCAAACTGCTGCAGGGCTCTCCAAGAATCTCTTTTTTCTTAGGGTGCAAAGGCAATTAAAAGTTGAAAGGTATTTGGACTGAACCACAGATGGAAAAAGAGACTTAGCTCAAGCCTCCTAGTCAATGTTGTCATGAGTCCTGGAGCTATATATCCCAAACATGAATGTGCATGCAAAATCCCAGGGGATATTCAGTATGTGCAGATTCTGATTCTGTAGGTTTGAAGTAGCATCTAAGCTCTCAGATGCAGCTGATGCTGCTGGTCCATAGACCACACTTTGATAAAAGACAACAGAGGGCAAAGAAGGCAACTTAAGAGTACCATGCTGGGGGACACCTGGGTGGCTCAGTAGGTTAAGTGCCCAACTTTGGCTCAGGTCATGATCTCATGGTTCACGGGTTTTAGCCCCTCATCGGGCTCTGTGCTGACAGCTCAGAGCCTGAAGCCTACTTCAGATTCTGTGTTTCCCTCTCTCTCTGTCCCTCCCCCACTAGCACTCTCTCAAAAATGAGTAAAAACATTAAAAAAAACCTTTTTTTTTTTCAACGTTTTTTATTTATTTTTGGGACAGAGAGAGGCAGAGCATGAACAGGGGAGGGGCAGAGAGAGAGGGAGACACAGAATCAGAAACAGGCTCCAGGCTCCGAGCCACCAGCCCAGAGCCTGACGCGGGGCTCAAACTCACGGACCACGAGATCGTGACCTGGCTGAAGTTGGACGCTTAACCGACTGCGCCACCCAGGCGCCCCAAAAAACCTTTTTTTTTAAAGAGTATGTTGGCATGTTGGGATGAACAAGATTTGGGGTTTCCCTTAGAAAGAAAAAGAATGCCCAAGATATATAACAGCTAAGTAGGAAAATAGAAGGCTGCTGATTTCCTATAAGTAGAATCTTTCCCTTGGCTTGTTAGTATAATCCTCTATATTATCATAAGCAGTTTAAAAACAAAATGAAAAATTTAGAAAACTTCAAAGAAAATCACAGAAAGAAAAGGAAGAGAGAAGATGAGAATGTCAAGCACATGTCTGTTTTTATGGGGGTGGGGGTGGGGGCAATGGTTACATTGATAGAAGACAGGGAAACAAGTAGCAGCTAAGAAAACAGGCAATTGAAAGGATGATACAAAAGCTTCTCTTAAGCTCCTGAAACTACTTCCACCTCCTTTCTTTCCTCCATTGTTCGCTCATCCCGCAGTTTTCCTGTTACACCTGCCTCCTTTCTGCCAATTGTCTCACAGATCTGCAATTTATAGTTGATTAAACAAAGCAAAGAACAGTTGCATAATTTGCCCAAAGGCACCCATCTGACAAAAAGGATTTCAAACTAGACATCCTGTCCTCTTCTAAGTGGACTGCCTTATTTTTCAGTCTACTGCCTGAGTTGCTATGCCTGCTAGCTCTATACAATCCAAATCACAGACACCAATAAATTACACTAAAACACTGTCATTATCCTATGCAACACTTTTCACAGACTCACATTGTCTCTGAGGCATAAAACTGAGATGTTTCATAATTTAGACATTCTCACTGTGAAAGCCACTTAATGTCCCTGAGCCTAATTGTTCTTATTATGTACCATGTTCAAATTATGTACCATGATCCATTAGTGGGTCATAAAATTATTTTGGAAAATGAGGAGGAAGGAGTTAAAACTGCTGGCCGGGATCAATTCCTCACTGTTACCGGGAATGTAGAGAAACTTATAGGGTAAAGAAGACAAGTGATTGGTTTAATCTCTTTGTAAACATCAAAATAGGACCTTCAGGGAAACTGACATTTACTAGGAGGAGAGCTCTTCTCTGTATAAAGCTTTGTGGAGGATGTCCCCAATTTAGGACAGCTTAAAGCATAAATCATTAGTTCTCAAAGAGTGGTCCATGGACCAGCAGCCTCTGAGCTACCTGGAAACTTGTTAGAAAAGCAAATTCTCAGGCCCTATCCCAGACTCACTGAATCAGAAAGTCGGGCAGTAGGTTCCAGCAATCTGTGCTTAATAAACCCGCCAGGTAATCATGGTCTATGCTTGAGTCTAAGAACTGTTGTACTGAACAGTATCGATTTATGAAGAATAGCTCCCTGAAGAATACTGCACAAATTCCTGATGTGTAAAATTGAGATGTTGCATAATTTAGAGCTTCCCTGCTGTGTGAAGTGACCCACGAACCTCACTTACAGACCTTATGCATCATTATGGGCCAAAGGAGCATGTGTCCAATGTGGGGAGGATGGACTATAGAGACTCATGACATTCCATCCTCCCCCTGCTTGCTATGCCTATGCCTCGATTGCTTGTATTTTTGAAATATTCGTAAAATGTGATTCTAGATAAGAACAGGAATGTGTCCTATCTGACACTGATTCTTTGTGTTGGCTCAGAGAAACACAACCAGTATATTTTTAAGAACAAGAAAGGTTAGAATAGAAACCAGAGGGCATCACATTTATAGAATTGTTTTGTGAAGACTGTCACAGGAATATTCTTTCTGTCTTCACCTCCTCCCCCCCCCCCCCCCCGCCATCCTGCATCCCCTTTCTCTCCCTCTCCCTGTCTCTCTCTCTCTCTCTCTCTCACACACTCTCTCTCTCTCTCTCTCTCTCTCTCACACACACACACACACACACACACACACACACACAGTGTGGCAATGGAAAATGCATTTCTTATCATGGACTATAGGTCAGAGAGTCTGAAAAATATTGGCCTGGATAATGTTCATTAAGAAGTCTCATGTAATCGATAAATAAACGCCCCCCAATAATCCCTGAGGTTTTTGAAATCTATTGAATGACTCTAAAGATCTCCAGATTATCTCACACATGTTCTGATTCTAGCCTGGCAAACAAGCCTCCTATAGGCTGGTTCTGGGTCACCTCTCCAGTTGAAACTAACACTGATGACTTTCCCACATTAGGCTACTCTGCCCACCGCCCTGCATATTCTTAAACAGATCTTTCCTAGAATGGCCTCTTTCCTCTCCACTTCTCTAAATCTTATCCATTATTCAAGATCCAGGTCAAATTCTCTGTAAAGCTGACTCTGCTGGATTTAACCTAGAGTAAGTACATTAAATATGTTGTCTTTAATTTGGTATTAAGAGATCAAAATGGGTTTTTTAAACAGCTTATAAATTCCTTAAGGTCTGATACTATCTTCCACTTCTTTAAAAGATCTAGAACATCTGATATCTGCCTATTAGCAAACACTGACATACTTGAGATTTTCCTATAACATAGTTATGATGACTTTTGAGATGCCGAGTAAAGCAGAAGTAGGTTGTTAGTGAAAGCTAACTGATGATTCAAACACTTCTACAACTCACTGTATACAGTAGCTCCTCTGGAGTGACGGGACTGGTGAAGATGGTGCGCAGGCACCGGAGGCAAGCTTCAATGAACTTCAGGTCTGGAGACAGTAGTCCTGTCAATAGAAAAGAGATGTGAGACTCCTCCTTTCAATCCGTATTTTAAACACTGCAAATTGACTCTAATTTTTACTTGTACAAAAATGACTTCCTTACATACCTTGCAGTAAGGCAGGGATAATATGGCAATCTAGAAGAGACTTGACGTTGTTTTCAGTACCCATAGCAAGACTCCCCAATACCACGGCACATTCAGTTTTCAGCTCTGTGCTTGAGGTTTCTTGCTGAAGCAAGTACAATAATCTAAAAATAAGGAATTTGATAAACAGAGGAGACTAAAAAAAATTAAACACAAGTAAATTAGCTAAAAGTAATGTAACAGAAAAATGCTACCAATACATCCCACATACTAAAAGTATGGTTGGTGAGCTTATAGAAGGCTAGGAAATGGTCATTTGTTTATATCAATTACTAACTTAATAAAGGAATATTTGGGTAAAAAATCAAGAAGAGAGTTTATTCATCTTGAGCCAAAGAACTATTACATACAATCTTAGAATTTATCAGGACTATTATTCTGAAATTTGTCCACAAGTAGACAGAGCAGCACCACAGTCCATGTTATCTTCCACTCCAGGATACGAAGACTCTGGACAGTCAAAGCCAAGTGCTGTCAGATGTTAAATTCAGACTAGAAAGGGACCTGGACTATCCAGAGGTATAGTTCAGAGATCACAGAGGTTTAGCCTACAAGAAATAATCAGACTCCTTGTGCAACTCTTCAAGCAAGGAAAACTCTTCTTTCCCCAGTTCTCCCATTTGGGGAACCAGGAGATCCTCTCATTTCTACCCCAGCCTTGCCTGTCAAGCAAATATTCCCTAAACTCTAATCATCCACCACTTACGACCATCTCCTTTTATGTTCTACAGTAAAACACACACATTCCTTAAAGTATATTTACATACACTGAACACTAATCCCCTAAGAAAGGCTGCTGAGAGTTTTATGGTTACCACAGTATATATTTGAGGTCAGTTATGATAAAAACAATAAAGCCATCAATCCTGCATCAAAAGACAGATATGAAGAAAAGAAAAAAACAAAGTATTAAAAATTCTGAATAAAAAACTTATAGCAACTGTACATAAAACTTAGTTCTGAGTACCAAAGGCAAAGAGAAAGTTATACAGTTATCACTGTCTGCCAAAAAGAAGCTTATTTAGTTCATCAGAAAAAAGATCAAACTTTCTAAGTTAAAAAAGAGCAAATTCTAAAAATTAGAAATTAAAAAAAAAGCAGGATTAAAAATCAAGCAGGAATTTTTGTCAATTTATTTTAAAAAGGTTTTGAGAATCCTAAGAAATTATTATCCAATCATATAAAACTGCCAAAGCTCTGAGGAGATAAAGAATCAGGCTGGTATATATTGTCTATCTACCCAACACATCTTTATTATAGGGTCAATGATCTTCCTGAATCTCCAAAAAGTATTAATATATTTGCTTCATATTCCATTCTCTGGTATTTAAAAATTCCTAAAGATATGCTTCATATATTTCAAAGCATTTATTTTAAAAATTAAGAGGCTTTTAAAACAAGATAGACAACATAGAAAAAAGATGGGTCTTACAGAGGAGAATGAGAAACACATCAGAAGCTTAGTATGAATAGCAGAAAGGGGCTGACAGCAAACATACCTTGGAACAGCTCCTAAAACAATGAGATTGGCTTTCTGCTTGTTGTTTCCAATTACAGCATTTTTCATGTCTCTAAATTCAGGGGAAGAGAAAAGGGCAAGGGATGTTGAGACCTCACAGAAACATCAATGATCAATTCTTTGCACTTTATCTTTACTATGCAACATCTTGGATTGACAAGTATAAATATCAGTGACAAAGTGAAACCCCGATCCTTTTTCACCTGGAGTACCAAAGGAAAGAACAGAGATAGGTACTGAGTGAACCTGAGGGCTGTAATACAGGAGAGTAGGGGAGTGGGGGAAGTGGGAGATACCCTGAGCACTCATAAAAGACTTCCAATACAAAGAATGTTGAGTTCTTCAGAAAAGGCCCACACATTATATCTAACGTTGCTTCAGGGATCATGATTTTGTTCCTTTCTTTCCTATTTTTCTGACTTCTTTGGGCTGATTGTTTCTTATGGTTCCATTTTATCTCCTTTTATTGTCTTATTAGCTGTGCTTCTTTGAGTTTTGTTTTGTTGCTTTTTAGTGGTTCTCTTACAATTTACGGTATGTATGTTTTAACTTATCCCAGTCAGTCTTCAAGGAATATTATCTTATTTCGTTTGTGTTCTAAGAGCCTTGCAGGCATATACTTCCATTTTTCCATCCATTCTTTGTGCTATTACTGTCATACGTATTTTTTTAATTGGTTAGAAATAACAATATATTGTTACTATTTTTTTAGTTAAGCAGCCTATTACCTTTCAAAGAGATTAAAAAATAAGAAAAAAAAACTTTCATTTCCCACATATTCACCCATATTTTTTATTGTAGCTACACTCAGATCTTTACTTCCTCAGGAGTAAAACTCTATTCCACAAGAACAGTATCTCTATGAATGACCAATTGGTTCACAAACACTGGTCCCAAATGACAGGTTGAGAAAAAATAAATAGCTCCAAGTAAACAGAGTACTACTAATAAGATGATTAATAAAAAATACCCTCATCAGTCAGTAGTGCTATCTTAATATAAAACACTAGAATGCTAAGTGATTCTACACAGCAGTGGTTCTCAAAGTGGGGAAGAAAGGATTAAAGCCCGATAGGGGCATTTTGGAAGTTAATGAGGGTGTCTGGAAATTTCTGGCCATAGTTTTACAATTAGACAGAAAGTGTTTTTTGTATACTTTTAAAGAAAATGGAATTTTTCAGTATTGCATTTGTCCTGTAAGTAAAAAGAAGATTATACTTTTTATTATAAGTTATTTCATTTTGGGAAATCAGACCACCAGCACAGTGTCCACTCACAGTACTAGAGTTATCAATACCATACATCAGTCCACATTTTCAGCTCTTGCACTCACACTGCTGAAGTTTTCTAATGTATTCATGACTAAATGTTTACATATGGAAACATTATAAATTATCTTAAAATTTTTTTCACTTATACTATAAGCAGGGAAGGCATTATATTATTTTTAGAGTTATATATGTGAGGAGTTTTATTCTTACTAATTTAATTTCAGGGTAGCACAGGCGTCATTAACAAATATTTATGGGGGGGATCACGTCTGACAGTGTTAAGACCATCAGTATAGAGCCTCAAAGTTCTTAGCTCACCAATTTCTTTCATATCCCCAATAAGTTCCTCTACATTGCCACACAGTGTCTCTTTTGACTCTTTCTAGGCAACAGAGCTCTAACATATACAGAAATGTTTTGTCAACTTTGAAACTTAGAATCCTAAAAAATTCTATAATTGGTAAACCATGATTTTGTAGAAAAACAGTGGAAAACAGGGAGAAAAAGCTACTTTAAAAAATCAACAAATGTTATAGTCAGCATGTGTTTCCAATACCAACCAAAATCATCGGCATTAAAAACCCTGATAATAATTATAATGCCTTTTCTCCTTAATTACCTTCTTCAATTAAGGTAGAAAAATACTGCTATGATGCAGTGATGTGCTAAAAGCGGATTCTTGCCACAAGTTTTTGAATGGCATTTTCCCAAGTTTGGAGCCAACCACTGTTGGCCTAGTCTTCCTCCCAGTAGCTCAGTGCCTGAAGGTAGGTCTATTTTTTTTCAGGGCCTTATCTGTTTCTCTCTATAAACCATCATTCAGATCTTCTACATGGTTCACAGGGGAAAAGTAAGAGTATTTTTTCATTTATGGGGACTAAGCTGAATGAAGCTTACTAGGGTTTTAACCAAGTTCTGATAGACAATTATAAAATCATGGGATAGCAAAGCCTCACAGAACAAAGCATAGGCTTCTACCTCCTTATGGAGATTTATCTCAATCATCAACTTATAGACCCTAACTTAGCAGTTTACCATTTACTTTCGTCTTCTTGCCTTCTCTTAATGTGTTCTGTCTATACTAATGTAGCACATCCATTTGTCCAGCAGATATCTATTGAGAGCCTATTTTTTGCCAGGTACCATTCTCTATTCTGGAATTCCCAATAGGAACATTTCCCCAGATTTCTCTCCACTCTTCCTAAACTAAGCAGAAATGAGGTGTACTTACATTACCTTATAAATGTGTTCCAAGTAACTGAAACCTCACAAAAGTAAATGTTTTTATAGACAAAAGCAAACAAAACCCCCTCCAAAACCAATTTTCCAGTTCTCTTAATAGTTCACAAAAAAGACATGAAGGAGGTAGCTGGTAGTTACAGAGTAAATGCAGACTGAAAAGAATACAATTATTAAAATGGACCAAGGTCTAAAGAAAATAATTCTTGCTGTGGCTTTCGTAAGTAAAATATATCTATGGTACATAATGAAGAGACCTTAACACCCAGCAAATAAATTCTCATCAGGTGTTAACTATAAAGGGATACTAGAAGATCATTTCTATGAAACAGTTACAACCAAAAGAAATAATCATTAGCATATATACTTATCTGTAGCAGATCTAAATATGGTATAAGATTAAATCTCAGAGCCAGCCAGAGTGTAGCTATTTTCTCTCTCTTCTCCTTATCCCCTCCCTCACACCTTCCTGTGGCTAACTTTACTCATCTTTCAGGTCTGATCATAGATATTCATGTCACTTCTTCCAGGAAGCTTGCCCTGACAACTCCCACTTCTGGGTTAGGTGTCCCTGCTAGCTACCCTCTATCATAGCACATTCATTATTTTGTTAGGATAGAGGTCTATTTCCTCTTGGGAGGCAAGAAAGCCAGTATGACCTGAAAATATCAGAGAGGTTACTATCAATGGATCACAAAATGCACCATAGAGAAATCCAGATTTCTGTAAAATGTAAACTCACAACTATCATCCAAGACGGGGGCACAAAAAAATTATGCAAAACTTATATACTGCCTTGAAGTTTACAAAGGCAGTTTACAAAGGCATATCTATTATTTTATTTAATCTTCATCACAATCTTGAGTAATATTAACCTCATTTTACTGATGAGGAAGCTAAGAATCAGGTTTGTGGCTTTTCTCAGAGCTCCACATTAAATGATAGAGCCAGTCTCAATCCATGTCTTTTATGTCAAGTGTTTTTTCCATTACCTCCAGCATATCAGGCAATCAGAACAAACTGATCAAAAAGAAGTCAGCTAATGTATTTCCTTTTTCCTCCCGTGTTTCAATTTTACATTTTATACAAGATAAAAGCATTTCTCATTTTAAAGATATCCTTTTCCCAGTAGATCAAAGGAATATATCTCATATATACCAACTTTTTAAAAAATGTTTATTTTTGAGAGAGAAAGAGAGACTGTGTGCATGCCCAAGCAGTGGAGGAACACAGAGAGAGGGAGATAGAGAATCCCAAGCAAGCTCTGTGCTGATAGCACAGAGGGGGCTCGAACTCATGAACTGTGAGATCATGACCTGAGCTGAAATCAAGAGTCGGACGCTTAACTGAGCCACCCAGGCGGCTCTCATTATCTACCAACTTTTAATACTCAAAGGAAAAAATGCCCTACTTATATACTACTGAAATTCAACAATTAAATTTTGAGCTCAGCACTGTGTTAGGCTCTATGAAGAATACGAAAGCATCACATAATGGGATGTTTGAAGAGTTTACAATCTTCTTGGGGAGATAAAAATAACACTAACAATGTAAAGCAGTGCTATATTATAAATCAAGTGTTTATAGGCCTGAGATAAATAGATGATCAGACAAGCTTACCAGGTTTTTAGGCAATGGCAGGAACTAAATGAACTTCAGAAAACGGCCAGGATTTAGATAGTGAATGGGAAGGGCAAATGGAAAAGCCATTCATAGAAGACCATATTGGAAATGAACACATCATATTTCTAGGGCAGGACCAGGAGCCTAGATTAAAAAGAAGAAGTGTCCCTTTAAAGTGGGAATACTAAGCAGAACATAAAGAAAAGTGACAGGGAGAAGAGACAAACTAAAGAGGGATAGATTAAGGAGCAATCAAGTTTCCATCAGAAAAAGCGTATCAAGGAAGCAGTGACTAATGAAGGTAAGCTGAATGTGGATTGGATGGGAATGCAGATAATACTAGAGTCAAGAAAGGGAACTAAACGGCTGATGCCCTTCCTCTGTGGTCCCATAACTACTACCCTGTACTTATGATTACCACAGCATTCACTAACCAAACTATAGTGGACTGTCTATTTAGCTATCTGACTCCTTCACTAGACTTCTGGATCTTCCAGAGCAATGACTTTATTATTTATTTGTACACACTCTCACCCTATCACAATGCCTAGCACATGGTAGGCACTCAGTAAACGTTTGCTGAAGGAATTACGCAATCCTTCCAGATATCAGGTTATGTGAGACTAAGATGGCAGCGACGAGAATCATTAATACAGAGCACATTCTGAAGAAGCAGTTAATAAGATGATTTGATGGGTACAGGAAATCGGATATATATCTTGAGTGACTACTTCAAGTCTGAATGCAGAGAACAGTAGGAAGCTTGGAACATAAGTCCCTTAACAAGACAAAGATCTATCTTGATTTTGGACACAATGAATTATCTTTGAGGTGAGATAAAAAATATCCAGGTAGAAAGCTAAAAGGTAAGCCTTGGGAGTATCCCACTCTTTGAAGATGGGAGAAGAAGCCAATATTA